AAAAAAAAAAAAAACAAGATAGTAAACTATGAAGAATGAAATCACAGCCAGTATCTTCCAACCACAAAGGAAAGAAACTAAAAATCAATAGTAGTATGAAAACCTGAAGCTACAAATATGTGGAACTTAAATGCCATACCTTTTTTTTGGGAAAGCAGAGGGAACTGCAGATTGAACTCAGGGTCTCACGCTTGTTAGTCAAGCACTGACCTACATCCTCAACCCCAACAACACACTCTTGAACAACCAATAAGCCAAAGATATCATAAAGGAAATTAAAAATATCTTGAGACAAATGAAAACACAACAAAACTTATGGTATGCAGTAAAATCCCGCTATAATACAGCAGAGATTGAGACAGGATGATTGTAAATGAGAAAACCCTGGGCAACTTAGTGAGTCTCTGTCTCAAAATAAATTAAAAGGGATTGGGGATGTAGCTTAGTGGCAGAGCACTTGCCCACCATGCATGAGGCCCTTAGATATCATCTCAGTACAAAAGAAAAGAAAAACCTAAAGTCAACAAGTTTTACATCACACCTCAAACAGTTAAAAATAAATAAGTAATAAATTAAGCTCAAAGTTAGCTGAAGGGAAAAAAACGAAGTCTAGAGAAAAAAATAAAGAAAGAATAGAAAATAATACAAAAAAGCAGGGCTGAGAGTATAACTCTCATGTGTGCAAAGCCACGGTAATGCCAAAAGAAAAAACTTGACTATTCCAGTTGCTTTTTTGAAAAGAACAATCAATCAATCAATCAAAGTAAGTTTAAAGTCCTGGGCAACATTGAGAGAAAGAGAATCAATTAAAATCAGAAATAACCTGAATCACCAAGAAGAAAACAGATACATCCCTAGAAATATATAATCTATCAAGACTAAATGAAATGACTCATGAAGAAATAGAAAATCCGAGCAGACGACCTTCCAACAAAGAAAAACCTAGGATCATTGGAAGCCAAGGACTAACTCTGACAAAGAAAGCCAGACAAAAGATACTGCAAGAATGTTATAGACCAATATGCTTGTGACTACTGATGCAAAAATCTTCACAAAATACTAACAAACCAAACTCAACAGTAAATTGTTAGGAATCACACTCATGACCAAATGTGATTTAATTCTGGGATGGTTGTTAAAAAAATGAATTATTAAATAGACCATATTAACAGGATAAATAATCCCACCCAAAATCATATGATCATTTCAATTGATGCACAGAAAGCATCTGACAAAATTCAACCACCACTCAGAAAGTCAAACTAGGAAAATCACATAAATACAATAAAGATGATATATGCAAAGATCCCAGCTAACATTAAATTCAATGGTGAAAAACTGAAGATACCYATTCTAGAGATGCCTTCAAAACAGTACTGAAAGCTCAAAGTAACTAGACAAGAAAAAGCATTCAAACTGGAAAGTAAGAAGCAAAATTTTCTGCAAAAACACAATCTTATATGTAGAAAATCCTAAATATTACATTAAAAATGTGGTAGAACAAATTCAGCAAAGCTGTAGAAGACAAAAGTAACACTAAAAAATCTTGCATTTCCAGCAGGGCGCAGTAGCTCACACCTGTAATCCCAAGGCTCCGGAGCCTGAGATAGAGCCTGAGATAGCAGAATCTCTACCAAAGTTCAAAGCTAGCCTCAGCAGCAGTGAGGCRCTAAGTAACTCAGTGAGACCCAATCTCTAAGTAAAATACAAAACAGGGTTGGGGATGTGGCTCAGTAGTTGAGTGCCCCTCAGTTCAAGACCCAGTACAAAAAACAAACAAACAAAACAACAACAACACTAGAAGATATCCATACTACCAAAACAGGAATTGCAGTGAATGTGAAGTTTGTTTTGGTAGTATTCCTATCAAAATTCCAAAAACAGCCAGACACATTGGTGTGCACCTGTAGCATCAGCAGGAAGATTACTTGATCCCAAGTTCAAGGCTAGCTTGGGTACAACAAGACCCTGTTTCCAAAAAACAACAACAACAACAAMAAWAAAAACACCAATATGGAACATGTTGTAGAAATAGAGAAAAACTCTTTAAAATTCATATGGAATTTCAAGAGAACCCCTAATTAAACAAAACAATCTTTAGGGAAAAGCTGGAGTCCTTACCCTATTTTCCAAACATATCCAAAGCTACGGCAATTAAACAATATAGTACCAGCATAAACATGGATATAAAGACTAACAGAATAGAGAGCCCTGAAATAAATAAACCATCACATACCCAGTCAAGTAGTTCTCAACAAGGGTAGCAATATTATTCTCAATGTGGGAAGATAATCAACAACCAACAGAGTGAAAAGACAACTTATGTAATAGGAGAAAATATCCACAAATTATGTATCAGATACAGTGGTTAATATTTATAATATATAAAGAACTGTCACAACTAATAATAACCAGGTTAAAATATGGGCAAAGGACTTGAACAGACTACTCTCCAAAGAAAATATACAAATGGCCAATAAACCCCTGAAAAGATGTTCAACACCAGAGAAATGCAAATCAAAACCATAACGGGATATCACCTCACCCCCATTAGTATGGCTACACTCAAAAAACAGAAAACAAGTTGTTAACAAGGATGCGAAGAGCTAAGAGCCCTTTTGCACAATCAATGGAATTTAAAATGGTGCATCAACTATGGAGAATATGGAAGTTCCTCAAAAACTTACAAGTAAAATTGCTATTAAAATTACAGGGTCTGGCGCTGTAAAACGTTTGCCTAGCATGTGTGAGGCACTGTGTTCAATTCTAGAACCACATAAAATAAAAAATTACAGGGCTGGGGTTGTGGCTCAGTGGTAGAGTACTTGCCTAGCACATGTGAGGCCCTGGGTTCAATCCCCAGCACCACATAAAAATAAATAAAATATTGTGTCCAATTAAAAAATAAATATTAAAAATTACTATGTGGGGTTGGGGTTGTGGCTCAGAGGTAGAGAGCTCGCCTACCAGGCATGAGGCACTGGGTTCGATCCTCAGCACCACATAACAATAAAATGAAGATGTTGTGTCCATCTACAACTAAAAAAAAAAAAATTTTTTTTTAAATTACTATGTAACCCAGCAATTTCACTTTTGGATTTATATCAAAAATAACTGAAAATCGATCTCAAAGAGCTATTGCACATCCACATTCACTGCTGCATTTATTATTCACAGGACAAGATGTGGAAGCAACCTAAATGTCCACTGACTAATAAATGAATAAGGAAAAGAAGAAGGGTGTCATTAGTAGTAGTGCATGCCTGTAATCCCAGCATCTCAGGAAACAGGGACAGAATGAGGAGGGGGTGTTGTGGTACAGATCAATGCCAGAGCATGTGCTTAGCTGCTTAGCATGCAAGAAGCCCTGGGTCCGATCCCCAACACCACATTGAAGGGGATTTAAAAAAAAAAAAAAGGAAAGCTGAGGATATAGGTTAGTGATAGAGCACCTTCCCACCATGTGCCAGGGCCTGGGTTCAATCAATACAAGTGGAAAAAGAAAAAGTTCCTACGTCATGGATGGATCTTGAAAACAATATACAATGTTAAAGAAGCCAGATATAAAAGGGTCACACATTATCTGATTCTATTTCTAAGAACTATATGGAACTGGCAATAGATTGTTCCACATTTGTTCATGTGGACTTTTGCATACTCTGTGAAAAATACTAAAAACCACAAATTGTACTGTAAATTTTATGATGTGTGAATTATACTTCAATAAAGCTGAGAAGGGAAAATGTACTATGGTAAACAATTTCAGGACTCTCACATTTAAGGATACTTAATTTTATCCTCAGTGACTACACTGTACATTAATATCCTGAYAGATTTTTACTGTTTCCCTCATACTGCTAAGGTAAGATACCCCTGGTATTTTTATCTACTTATAAATCTTCCAAAATGGATTTAATACACTTAAGATCTTCCCATAAGTACTACAGAACAGTTTCATTTTTTCTCCCAGAATATTCCTTTTGCTTACAGAATAGATAGATCTATCATAAGCTGTGATCAAAGGAATTTAAACTTCAAGCCCAAAGTTTCTCAATTACCTGCAATAACACATTGAGTCCCCAAAGCTAATAGATTTTCAAAGGTAGGAACAAAAACAAAAATGTTGCTGAGACTTACTAAAGGAAAAAGCGAGGAAAAGGTTTTGCTGAAAATATATATGGAAATGTGATTTTCAAAATTTCGTATCTTCTAGATAAAGCCTTTTCTTTTAGATGATCCTTCCCTTCCCAGTTTACAAATGACCTTTCCATTAAAACACATCAACTTCAGAAGAGGAACATCATAGGCACTTTTTCCAACCCCTTTCACCAAAGTCAGAAGTCCTTACCTGGTTCAGGGAGCTCAGCCTGGGGTGTCAAACTGGGAATTACTGGCTCCTTTTCCATATCTTCCACGCTTGCACTGGATTTATCACAAACATTCAAGGGCGGACCAACTGAATCTAAGTGGCTAGCATGATTTGGATCTGTCAGTGAGTCCTCTAGTATGTTTGTAGATGTTGGAGTTCTATTCTCTGGGAAATCATCCCGACCCTTCTGAACAGGGTCACTAGGAAGCAAGACCCCAAAGGCACCCTCAGAGTTCTCTTTCTCCTTAAACCTGTTAGTGCGCTTTCCAGGTTTTGTGCGCCTTTGGTTTAAACGCTGCCACCGCTTTTTAGGCACCACTTGATTTACCCCATTTAGTTCATCATTCTCACTATTCATTTCAGAGTCCAGCTCTGGGCCTTTTCTGTTCTCAAAGGGGGAACCCTTTACAAGAATTTTATCAGGTTCAGACTGTTTATCAAAATGTACATCAGAAAACTGAGCATCTTCACTTTTTAAATGTCCTGTTAATTGAAGAGTTTCTTCTTTACCAAGATCTTCTACCCCACCCTTGGATGGGCCATTCACAGAGCATCCACTCTCTGTGTCTCCCTGCAGTGCAGTCTCCAGAGTCACAGCTGGAAGCCGGTTCTGGTTCAGTTTTCTTTTTCGCTCTGTCTTTAAGGCTTTCCGGTTCATTGTATTCTTTGCCACCTGGGCTGAAAACACATCTCGAAATTTGGAGGATGGTTTTGATCGGGCACAGTTGCGCCTGGTAACACAGTTGGGACGACTTTTGCCAGAAGCAGGAAGGTCTCGTATGTCAGACACTATGCCAGGCAAGGAGGCAGACAATTCCCCAGAGAGCACAGAGTCACCACTAGAGTTAGGATGGGCTGAGTCCTGAGTGCCCTCTCCATTTTTTTCTGAATTGTGGGTGGAGCCTCCTGAAACCAAAACCTTAGATGCTGCCACAGGACTACTGGTAGTAGAACAGTCGCCACGAACAGGACTTCGATAAGAGACCAAATTTTGAGCAGTCATCAACCTTTGCTCCTTGGTCTTACTATCATGCATATCTTTCAACATCATTAGCAATGTACTAAACTTGTAGTCTGGTTCAATAGGTATATGATTCTGACTAGAAGCAGAAGAAAAAAGTAACGGTTTTGATGGCTTTGATGTTCCAGAGTCACTGACATCATCACTTAAGGATCTGTAAGAGAGTTCCTTCAATTCAGATAGAACATGTTTAACTACTGCTGTTTCTATGTCACTTGAATCCCTGGTTTTCTCATGCATGTTGTTCAGTAGTTTTAGCCCATCCACCTTTCCAGTTTTAGAAATGCTGGCCAAAGGAGAGCCTTTGGTATCAGAAGAGAAGCATTTCAAACCACAGTCCTCATTTGTACCTTGGGGTTCTACTATAACTGGATTTTCTTTATGTTTACACTTTATACTTCGGAACTTGGGCTGTTTGCTTTTCAAATGTAACAGAGCTTGATTTGTAGTACCACCCTTTATCAGTGTGTTTTCACTGGAAATGCTTGATGGTGTGTTAAGTTTTGGAGAGAGACCATCATTTCTAAACTCCGATTGGGTTTTGTGGACGAGAGTGGACACTTTAATATCAGTGAGATTAACCTGAGATGTCTCAGTTCCAGGATCTACTGTCTTTGTACAATCTAGTAAGTGGTCTGTATGTGAGTTAATCAGAGATTTCTGTTTTGCTTTCACCCTAGTGTTTGTGGCAGGATACCTAGAATACTTCATCTTTTCATTTTTCTGCATGGATAACATGTTCTCTCTTCTATCAAACGTATCTGTAATTTCAAGGACACTGTTATCAGACTCTGAGCTGTGTTCTACAGGGTCCAGATCACTACTTCCATCATCAGAAGTGGTACAGATACTGATGGAATCGCTTCGCTTTTCCTCATCACCAGCTCCAATATAACAGAGCTGTACTTTTGAACTACACACCAGACCTCGCTGAAGTTTCTTTTTCTCCCCAGAATGTTTAGAGATCAAGGCACCCTCAGACAAGCCCAATAAAGAATCACAATTTGGAGTCTCAAATTCTTTCTTTGCACTGTTTTTGCCACACGAAGAAAACAGGAAACTTCCTGGGGCAGTGCTGGACCCTGTGAGGCTGTTTGCTATCCTTGAAAGTTCATTAGAGGCCTGCTTATCAGATACATCCCCAGAGATAAAGTTTAGGGCAAGGTTCTCTGGAATCTTACCCCTCCGTTCTTCCTTATGTGCTTCAAATTGCATGACGCTTTTTTTCACACTAGTCCTTTTTGGATTATCAGAGCTCTTTCTGGCTCGAGACTTAGCACAGGGCTTTTCCTTCTCATCTGCAGAATGCTCAGAATCAAAAGCCAGAGATTTCAAGCAGCCATTAAGCAACAGATCATGTTCTGATTCTGGATCATTTGCACAGTCCTCAAATGGCATATCCTCCTCACTGTCCAACTTGCCTGAACTAGTGACACATTTTCGGTTCTTTGACCCTTTAGGAACATCATATTGTTCAGCAAGACCAACACTGGCTTCCCATTTACTCAAAATTTTCTGAGGAACCTTAAATGTAAACGAGAAAAAGCACAACACTTATCAGAGAAATGTGAGGCGACACTGGAAGAAAATGAATAAACATCTTTCAAATCAGAAGCTTGTCTAAACTTTGTTGCACTTCTTCAACGTCTTATTATGAGACTTGTCAGGAAGTTATCATGTTGATTTACCCTCAGTTTACCTAAAAGGGATTCCCCAACAATACTTCTGTCAATAAGATTCATCATTAGAGGAGAATTAGTGTCATAAATTCTCTGCCCTTCTTGGATTTATAAACAAAAAGAAGTAGCCATTACTCAGACTACAACTGAAAATATTACATTTCTAAATCAGACCTTCCTTACTTACTCCTCTATAACTTAGAATAAGGATTTATTTTCTTCCTGACTTATGAAGGGCATGCACATGCTCAGATGCAAAAGAAAGAAAAAGTTTAAAGATGAATATGAAAATATAGGCCAGGAGGAAAGAAGAGATCAGATCTAATTCTAAGAAACCTGAATTTTAAAATTCTACCTCTCACTAGGGCATAGCTAAATACATACAAAGTGGATTATGCCCAATTTATCTCTGGGGCATGATTATGTAGTACAGAGACACTTGGGTATAACAAAATACATGTGTTTTTTTCTAGAATCTTCACAGCATGAGGACATTTGAGGCTCTGTGAAACATATCTAATTTTCTAGGCTCTTTCTTTCCTTGGCTCCATACAATAGATACTAGTCAAGTATTAACACTGTTAACTCTAAGTGTTCACAATTAATTTTAATACTTGTGAAAAAGATGTCCTGCTGAGAATGTAAAACTGTCACTAAAGAGGCACTAAACTATGTGGTCTCTTTTATATGCAAATATACCCACTAATGCTCATGTCTCTGACTAAAGTAAATCAATGTTCCAGAACAAGAAAGTATTAGATAAATCCTATGAAAAGAAGGGTGATAAATCTACCTAGCTAAAAGCATAAAATAAAAATTTTGACAATTTCCTACCAATAACCATCCAAAATAATAGCAAGTTAAACTCCTTCATCCTAACAACATATACTAATAGTTTTTATATTATCAAACTTATACCAGGGTATTTTATACTTACTTCTAATCAGAACAGTTCTACAAGGTATGTTATTAGACAGTTTTAGAGATAAAGATGAGTCTAAAAAGAACGTATAAAAGTGATAGACCCTGTATACTAATTTAAAATTATCCTAATCATAGTTTTTTTGCAAAAAATCTAAAAGTACTTATTTATACATAGTATATATTCACAGTGAAGTAAGAAACAAACTAAGAATTATTTCTTCTTCTAAAGTGACTATAAAAGTAAGAACTGGTGCTGAGCACAGAGGGGCACACCTGTAATCCCAGTGCTTGGGAGGCTAAGACAGGAGGATCTTGAGTTCAATGCCAGCCTCAGCAACGGTGAGGYGCTAAGCAATTCAGAGAGACCCTGTCTCTAAATAAAAACAAAATAGGGCTGGGGATGTGGCTCAGAGTGCCCCTGAGTTCAATCCCTGGTACCAAAACAAAACAAAAACACGTAAGCAAAATAATTGACTATTAGGCTGGGGATGTGGCTCAAACGGTAGCATGCTCGCCTGGCATGCGTGTGGCCCGGGTTCGATCCTCAGCACCACATACAAAGATGTTGTGTCTGCCGAAAAACTAAAAAAAAAAAAAATAATAAATATTAAAAAATTCTCTAGGGGCTGGGGATGTGGCTCCAGCGGTAGCGCGCTCGCCTGGCATGCGTGCGGCCCGGTTCGATCCTCAGCACCACATACCAACAAAGATGTTGTGTCTGCTAAAAACTAAAAAATAAAAAAAATTAAAAAAAAAAAAAAAAAGAATTGACTATAAAAAAAAATTAATTCATACTGAGAAAGAATACTGATTGTTAGGAGCTAGGGGAAAAAAGAAATAGTAAGTTACTATTTAATGGAGACAAAGTTTCACTTCTAGCAAATGAAAAGCATTAAGAGACCCAGGGACATAGCTCAGTGGTAGAGTGTTTTCCTACAATGCATGAAACCCTGGGTTTGATACCCAATACCACCAACATATATATTTTACATAGATAATTTTACATCATAAATTGTAACTAAAATATGATTAAAATGATTAATTTGATGCTATATGTATTTTAACACAACAAAATTGGAGGGAAAAATTAAAAGAAAAATTTTCTTAGCCAACATTAACTTCAAGCAAAAGAAATAAATGTTCATGATTAAAATATATCCAGGTTTTGAAAGAATGAATTCAACACTGATAAAACATTAAAAAAATTGTTAAAAAGCTGATTATTCTGATTTTTAAGAGAAATAATTAGTCCAGAGGGTGAGAAGTAGAATATTTCATTTTAATGATCACTTTCCTCTTGCATAAGAAATAATCAAAAAAGACTGGTCAGGTGGTATTGTATTGTAGCTTCTCTTAGAGACAAGGCAGAGGTATCTAAAGTCATTTCTTCAAAAACAATGTAAAGTATTTCAAAAGCTTACTTCACCCTTATCCCTGCAAAAAACCTGCTTACTAGCTATTTTCTCAAAGATACCCTACTAACAAAGACAATGGCTTATATTTCAAGAACAATGCTTCTCCTCTCTGCCAACCTACAAGTAGATAATTTTTTTAAGAAGCCCCTTATTTAGATTTTATTTTTACCTTATGCCTATATCCTTTTTCTTTCTGCTTTCCTCTTTTCCTAAGGACAGGTAGTTCTTCAAATTGATGCCTGCCTTCAAACATGACGATTGCTTTTCCAGCCACCCAGGCTCTTTCAGAAGGGTCTCCAAAAGCCTCCACGTAATATTCCCGATATGGTCTCCGATTGGCAACTAGATAAGGATAAAAATCAGTGTCACTACTTCATCATCTAGAAAATACCCTTACCCCTACTGCCAAAGATGCTTAGTCTCTAGTGACAATCAATTAACATGATAAAATACCAACAGAACCAGACAATTGGGAGTAGATCACATAGAAGAAAAATTATATTCAATTTATATGGCAAGAAAATGCATGAGAGTTTTTGAAAATATCAGTAGTTTAGTCTAAGTATATGTTAGGGATCAGTTAGAAAGAGACATGGAGGCACATGCCTGTAATCCCAGCTACTCAGAAGACTAATACTGGAGAAATCTCTCAAGTCCAAGGTGGCCTCATCAATCTAGTGAGACTGAGACTCTGTCTCAAAATACAAAGGACTGGAGACACAGTTCAATCATAGAGTGCCCCTGGTTCAATTTCCAGTACCAAAACCTCAAACAAACTGGTTAATTAGCTAACAGTAAAACAAACTAAGGGAGTAGTCAACAAAATTCATCATCAGCTTATAATGTTCGACAGCCTCACCAGACACAGTGGTGCATGCCTGGAGTCCCAGTGGCTCAGGATGCTGCAACAAGAGAATCACGAGTTCAAAGCAAGCCTCAGCAACAGCTAGGCACCAGACAACTCAGTGAGACCTTGTCTCTAAATAAAACACAAAATAGGGCTAGGGATGAGGCTCAGTGGT